GTGTGGCTCAGTGGTTGAGTGTCGACCCAGGCACCAAGAGGTTGCTGGTTTGATTCCTGGTCAGGACACAGGCCCAGGTTGCAGGCCTGATCCCCGGTGGGGGGCGTGCAGGAGGTGGTCAGCTGATGTTCTCGCTCATTGATGTTTCTATCTCTTTCCCTCTTACTTCCTCTCTCTGTAAAGTCAATAAAGAAAAAAAAGTGCTTGTTTCTGGAGGTCACCCAAATCCTTGCATGTTGGCCTATTGCCTCCACGCACCCCCTCTCCTCCACGTCCCTTCCCCACTGTCGGATGCACGTGATCTGTTCCTCCCCTCAGCCTGGCTTGCACTTTTGGTCTTTTCCATTCAGCATCATCGGCCTTGTGTTATTCTTGGATTATTTCCAGATGTGTTTGTTTTCTTTTCCCACAAAGATCGAATGCTCCTGAAGGCCAACGCAACAATCTAATCATCTCTATTCCTTATACCGACTAGACTCTTAACAGGTATTTCTGGAGCAAGTGAAATCAAGTCTAACAAACAGAAGTTTGCGTCTATGGTTTCTCAGCTGTAAATGTAACAGAAGTAAAAAATCATTTTAATTATGAGAATATAAACAACTCCTCATAAACATTTACTATGAATGTGATTAGAGAACTATGTTTATTTATGGACTAATGTCTTATGCAGTTAATGAGATGTATTTCATAAAAAGTGGTGTTAAAAATCACTTTCTTATTACTAACCGAGTCAGAAACGCTTAGAAAATCTGGGACGGTGTATTTGAAATGCTCCTTTGGGTATTATGCCAAAGCATTTATAAACAGAGCACACATACAAAAATCTTTCTTTTCCATCCTCTATTTCCTGACATAATTTGAAATTAAAATCACATGATCAGCTACATCTATCACAACTATTTGCAGAATGCAGGCAAAAACAGATTTTTTCCCTTGTATTCCCTCTTATTTTAAAAGTATTTTATAAGTGAAAAGGGAAACATCCTTTTTTAGAGTTTGTTGAGAACTTCAAATATCTAGTCTCCAGAAGCAAGATTCATCACGAGGAATACCTCAGCCTAACCGAGGTTTCAAAGCAGTGCCCACATAGACCATGCTTGTTGAACAAATTCAGATTTATTGAAAGTAAACATTTACATTGGCTACAATGTTGGAACTATTACAAAGCTGGATAAAAGAGGCTTAAGGAGCAATAGAAAGCAAGTGCAATAAAAAGTGAATAGAGAAAATATTTGGCCTTAGTGATCTCTTGGCAGTATTTACATTATGTACATATTGTTAAATATTTATAATAACTCTAAGGCACCAAAGGCTAAATAGCAGGTTGCAATACTATTTTGTGCACAAAAGTCAAGAAATGTGTTGTAAAGAAGGCGATTGAGTTAAAGAAACAGAGGCATGTTGTAATGTTTCCATAGAGGGGTGGCTGCATATTTTAAAATCTCAACTGATACGTTAAATATCGGGCAGATTGAAGAAATTATTTTTAGAACATTAAATTATGTTGACTATGTAAATAAGCACTATTTTTTTTTTTACTGACTTGCTGGTAAATGTGTAATGTAATCTATTCCTCAACACAGCTTTTTCACACTCATGGATATGTTTTGTCTAAAAACTACTTGAAATTCTTTTGACCTACAAAAAACTTATCCTAATATATCATGGTGTATACAAAAATCCCCCAAGAAAAATTAACTGGGTAATAATATACATCAATTTTATATATAATCTGACAGAAATTTAGCAGGCATTCAATGCCAAAATATTTGAATGTTCAGGGTGCCATTCTGGCGTAGGCATTGGGTATTTTTAATCCTTTAACTGTTCAGGGTGGGCATCTGTTTGTGGCTTTCGGTGAATGGACATAGATTTGGCCCCTGTAGAAAACCAATCTTAAAGGGAACTAATTATTTTCAAATTTTGCAACTTGAAACCCCTTCCCGTGGCTCATTGGGTGTTAAGTGTGTCATCCATCACCCATGACTGAAGTATCCCTTGTACTGTGTTGTCAAGAGACAACTGACAGTATCTGTGCCCAGCACAGCCTTGACCGTTGAATTGTTTGATGACTTCTATTTGTAAAACTCCCTTTCTTACACTGGAATCCCCAATTCACCTTGACAGACAGTCTTATCACTGGTCTTGAGGTAGTGTTATAACGAAGAATTCAGCAAGACAACAGAACAACATCACGATATTTTTAAGACGCCCGTTCAGGGCCACCACAAAATCCGTACGTCTAGATGGTAGGCGGCCCACGGTCCCGTGGCCTGACGGACAGACGTGTGAAATTACCACCTGACTTTAACAAGGGTGATGGATTTTTCCTGAACACGTCCTGAAACCCCGGGTCCTTATGAAGTTATGGTATTATGGCAGAAAGTGCTGCTATGCTACACAGCATCCTTCAGCCATCATAAAGACTTGAGAGGCTTGTGTATCAAAGGTTTTCCTTTCTTTTCGCAAAGGGGAGGACAATAGAGGATTTCTTTTCTAGATGCTTACATTTTTCAGTGAGTAATACTCAGAGCATTAACCACAGTTCGGATTGGATTCTTACATCACATAGTATTAGATAGTGAGTTTAAGGGCTTACTATCTTATACAAAATTTTATATTTATATTCAAATTTTAAATTAAAAAACCACCTTCAAGTCCAACATTTCCGACCTGCTGAGCAACAAAAATAAAAACCATTTCAACGTAATGTAATCGGAGGCCACTGAAGTACCTTGGCTTCGTGAATTCTACAGTAATAATATAAGTGTGTTATTGCTTTTTCTCTTCTTGAACATTTGATTATTTTCTTTTTTAATACAATAGACAATAAAAGAAGACAACTTATTTATAGTGAAATGTTCACAAAATCAGCAATACCAGAAAAAAAAAAAACAGAATAAATTAAGGTTCTTCTTTCCCTTCTTTGACAATGAAATGAACAGTAGCCTTTGCTCAGTGGGTTAACGTGATGTAGTAACAGCTACACAATTAATACAACTATTACAAAGCAGCAATAAACAGACTTCAAATGATCCTATAAATGCAATATAGTATCACATGCTTGGAATCATCAAATAAGTCAATAGATAGTATCTTAATGGGGTGACTGAATCAAGGCATGATAATAATGTTTAAACTTCTGAATTTTAAAGTTCTGTTTGGATTTTGGAAGTATGGTATTCACAAGGTACGCATCAGTATACTATAGTATACTGATAGTAACATTTTCAATGAAAAGATTGGCTCTAGAATATTTGCTTAAAAAGGATCTGACTTTTTGAAACAAATGTAAAATTTGTCATTCTGCACTACAGTAGCACTCCATTATCGTCAGAAGTCACCTCAATTGATTACCGTAAAAGGTGCCTATTGTCTGTAATATTATTAGGCATCAAAACTATCAAATACTTTCCTTGCTCTGAGAGAAGAATCTTTCATTCTTAAATTGGCAGAATTTTCTAGTAGGCTAGTTTTTCCTCCCCTCCTCCTATATTGAAATAGTCTCCCAAGTCCTTGAAGTTACCGTTACAGGTCAGATTTGAATACTGCACTCCTCACAGATCACTCGGCTGTTCCGTAAACCCTTAAGGAGTTGCATCAGTGGTTCTAAATTTTGCATGGAGGCACTGTTGAGTCTTTGGGGTGCCTCAGTGGCCCCAGGGGCCAAACAGGTGGGGCTCCAGGACCTCAATGTCCAAATCCTACTATTACATCTTCCTATTTATGTCAGATATAAAATGGCCCAGAAAATTAATTTGAAAAAATAATCTTGTGGCTTAAAAATGTTTTTAGAACACAGTCAAAGGGACCTGGGAGACTTCAGCAAATAGTTATCTTGTCCTACATGAAATCCTCAAACATTTGTTCACAGGCACGAAATAAGATGCTGCCTCTTGGCCCTATCCTGCCAACAGTATACCTCAGCGTCACTTTGGGTTTGAAGGTACAAGTCAAAACAGATCAATGTTTTAAGTGGACCGTGTCACAAGGATTAATATCCCAACCGTTTCAAGTCCTTTTTGCAGAAATCAAGTATTTACACTATAAGAAAACAAATGACTAGTCAAGGCTTCCCAAACAGCAACCCTTAATAACAAGGATGACCTTTTTTTTTTTCTCACCTTATATGCCAAAGAGAATAAACACAGAATAGTTACAACATTATACTTGCAAATGACTATACATTTTTATTTTTTTCTTTCTAAGTAAATTAGAATCAGATATGAGCCTTGATTCAGGGTTTGAATAGAGTGGCAGGCACAATAATTAAAACTGCTCTCATGAATGGCCCTATTCCAAAGACATCGCGTGAGAAAATTAAACACTGTCGAGTAAAACTCGTGATGACTAAGAAAAACCTTCGGAGCCAAAGAAACAGAAATGATGTCGATGAGCACATGACCCTCGAATGGAGAAGGATGGGTGCTGGTGTCATTGTTCTCTATAAACGTATTTTGTGTTCTTTTAATATAAAAGAAACTTCAAAGTTTGTCTTCTTTCTCAATATGAAAAAAAAATATGCAGAGGTATTAGATGAAAAAATATAAAAATGCTGGTGTGGCCTAAATAAATTTTTAAAATGTCCCATTGTAGAAAATAAAAAACATAAACGTTTGTTAAAATTCTTTTCTTTTTTTATACGTGTGGTCACTTGAATACAGACTTAGTCCACCAGGGGCTTCTATGTTCCCAAATTGTGACTTCTAATAACATTGTTAAAGAGTTGAATTTTAACTGAAGACCACAAACATTCTTTGAACACACTGAAATACTGTTTGCAAATATCTTCAGTGAATGGCTATGGTAAATTTGGCTCATATCTTGGTTTGTGTCCAGATTCACTGCTAACTGAACATCACATTTGTTTTCATTGAGTGAGAACAGGGTTGTGGGCTACGCCATCTGTCGCCATGACACACGTGTGCAAATACACATGTGTGCAAATACACACACATGTGCACAGTCACGCGTTTCGATGCATGAGTCTAGAGATATGT